TGCACTGTTGGTGGGAATGCCTGCAAGTGGTGCAGCAGCTCTGGAAAGCAGTGTGTAGGTTCACCAAGAAAATTAAATAGACATACCACCTACCCTATGACCCAACAACAATAGCACTGCTAGAATTTATCCAAGGGATTGATACTGTTCATAAAACTTGTACTTATTAATGTTAGCAGCACTCTCAACAATAACCAAATTATGGAAAAAGAACCCTAAATATCCATCCAACTGATGAATGGATAAAAGGTATTGTGGTTTATATGCACAATGGAATACTAAGGGGCAATGAAGGAAAAAAAAAAATGAAATATAAGCCTTTTTGTAGCAAGCAGTGATGGTGGAGGGGCAATGGAGAGGAATGTGATGCTAAGGAGTAAAATAAGTCATCTTCTGAGAGAAGAAGACAGATACCATGGTTTCTCTTTCTCTTATGTGTGGATCTGAAACCTGCAAAGACCCATGGGAAGGAAGAAGGAAAAAAAAAAAAAAAAAAAAGAGGTTAGATTGGGAGAAGAGAAACCAAAGCATAAGAAGACTGTTAAAACTGAGAAACAACGAAGCAGCCTGGGTGAAACATGATGGTCGGTTCGCGTCGGCTTCAGCTCCAAAGATCCGCGATCTCATGATCCATTGGTCGAGCCCAGCGGCGTCAGGCTCTCAAGGCTGATGTTTCGGAGCCACAAAACCTGTTCGATTCTGTGTGTCTCCCTCTCTCTGCCCCTCCCCCGTTCATGCTCTGTCTCTCTCTGTCCCAAAAATAAATAAAAACGTTGAAAGCAACAAAAAAATAAAAATAAGAAACTGAGAACAAACTGGTTGATGGGGTGGGGAGGGGGAGGAGAGAGATTGGGTGGTGGGTGAGGAGGGCACCTTTTTGGGATGAGCACTGGGTGTTGAAACCAATTTGACAATAAATTTCCTTAAAAAAACATAGTTCTCAAATGAAATCACCTATTAAAGACATAGCCGACACCTTTCTTCCCTTGTGATATACTGATGTAGAACTAAGGATGTTCTGAGAGAGTGTCTGGGTAGCTTGGTCAGTTGAGTGTCTGACTTTGGATCTGCAGTTAAATTGGTTTTAAAAGCCCCATATTTGAGGCTCTGTGCTGACAGCAACCAGAGCCTGGAAGCTTACTTTTGGATTCTTAGATCTCCTTCTCTCTCTGCCCCTCCCCTCTAATTGCTCTATCTCTCTCTGTCTCAAGGTGAATACATGTTTACTTGTTCTGAGAAGAGATGAAAAGATACAACAACTTCAGAAGATCACACACCCTTTTCGAGAGGCCCAGTGATTGAAAAATCAAGAATCGCATGGCATGAATCAATAGCCGTATTGAAACTGAGTTTTAAAATGCATTGATGTCCAGCCAGAAGTACTGGTCCGGGCCAAAAGGTGGGGTGGTCCATTCCTCAGTAGTCTTCTCTCTTAAAACAAAAAGTCCGAATATCATATAACAAACAAACTTGGGAAGACCCTGGAAGGAAGAAGGTAGAATGGCTAAAGATCATGGGATTTAGAACGAAGAGTGAGTTTCTTGGGGTTTTCTTTGTTACTTCCCATATATATCCCAGGTGGCGTTGTGCGAAGCCTTCAACCTAGATCCACCAACAAGCATACAAAAACAACCCCAAGAAAAAGCCTGATGCGGCTTTAGCTAAAGGAGCAGGGAAAAAAAAACAGTAATATGTAGAACAGATAACTCACCTGCTCCTACTTAAATGCAAATACCGATTGTTGGAAAAACTGCTCCCCACCTCTCCACCTACCTGCACAGTGTCACTGGGGCCAGCAGCAAGCTGAACTTACAGGCTTACCCATCAGCAGAGGTAAAATAAAGGGTATGGTGGTGTCACTGGTTGGCACTCCACTTTCCTGCCAAGTGTGTCAATGGGACAGAGGAGATGAACATTCCTCCCACATGTACATACACCTGTACCTAAACCGATGCTGCAAAATAAAATTCTAAATCAATTTTATGCAGCATGAGTAATTTTTTTCAAATGTCATCATCCAGGATATAATAGAAAATCACTTGTTATACAAGAACAAGAAATTCTCAACCCTGAATGAGAAAAGGCAATCAACAGATGCCAACACCAAGATGACAAAATATTGAATTAGCTGATGATGAAAATTTTAAAAAGCAGTTGTCATATAATATGAATTAGATAAGCTATCAACATTATGAACACCTTGAAAAAAAAAGAAACAGAGAAAAAATTAGAAGGTGTCAGGGTGCCTGGGCTCATTTGTAAGCATCCAACTCTTGATTTTAGCTCCCGGAGTCTCATGATCACAGTTAGGTGGGTTGAGCCCACCATCTACAATGACAGCTCAAGAGCCTTGCTTGGGATTTTTCTCTCTCTCCTTCTCTTTCTCTTCCTCTCTCTCTCTCTCTCTCTCTCCTAAGTAAATAAACTTAAAAAATAAAAATGTCTCTGTGAAATAGAAGAAGATAGAAAAGAGAAGAGAATCCAAAAACTTTTAGAGGAGCCACTAGAAAATACATTAGCAAAATAAAAACTCTGCACAAGATGGGCTCAATAATAACAAGTGAATATGGAGGAAGAAAGTATCCATGAACTTGAAGATAGGTCTAGAAAAATACAAATCACCCAGAATCTGGACAACAAGAAAATGAACTTAAATAAAAGCGTGGAGCAAGAGTGTGTGGGACAGTAACAAAAGATACAATGTTTGAATTAATACAATCCCTGAAGGAGAGAAAGGGGAGAAAAGTATGGAACTAAAGTATTCAACGAAATAATAATTGAAAGCTTCCAAATTTGGTGGTGAAAGATAATAAACCTGCAAATTCCTTCGAAAAGTAGTGAATTGGGTGGAGTGTATAAGCAAAATCTATGCCAAGACACAACTTCAACTGAAAACTAGACAAAATTTCTTAATCTTTATTTATTTTGAGTGGGAGGAAGGTGGAGAGAAGGGAGAAGAGACCATCCTAAGTGGGCCTCTGTGTTATTAACAAAACCCTGATAATCTGGGGTCTTCCTGAGGGCTCAGAATCATGACAGATGCACTCAGCCAGCTATAGGCACCAAAGCATGCATATGGAACAAAAAATTTTAGCGAAAAAGTCATTAACTATAAGGGGAACAATTTGAATATTCTACTTTCAAGATTTCCCTAATACGAAAATAGAAAGGGAGTGCTGAAACATTTTCAGAGTGCTGAAAAAAGAAAACTGTCAGCTCAAGTCTTTGTACCTAGCCCGAGAATATTATTATTCTTCGGGAAGAAGATATCCTTGGGTAGGAAACTAAGACTTTGTCACCAGCAGGCCTACCTTAAAAAAATGAAAAAGCTAAAAAGAATTGAGCAGCCTAAGGGTGGCTCAGTTAGTTAACATCAGGACTCTTTGTTTTTTGGCTCATGTCATGATCTCACAGTTCATCCTTGAGTTCAAAAGAAAAAGCCCTGTGTTGGGTTCTGTGCTGACAGTTGGTGCAGAGCCTGCTTGGGATTCTCTCTCCTCTCTCTCTCTGTCCCTCCCCTGCTTGTGCTGCTTTCTCTCTCATCAAAATAATAAATAAATTAAAAAAAAAAATTCAAAGGAAGTTGTTATTCATAGAAGAGTGATATTGAAAATTTGGAACATGAAGAAGAAAGAACAACAGAAATGGAGCTATGGGGGAGATATAAAGACTGT